CCCAGGAGTCCAGGCCCCCAGCCCCCTCCTCCCTCAGACCCAAGAGTACAGACCCCCAGCCCTCCTCCCTCAGACCCAGGAGCCCAGACCCTCTAGTTCCCTCCTCCCTCAGACCCAGGAGTACAGACCCCCCCCAGCCCCCTCCTCCCTCAGACCCAGGAGTCTAGGCCCCCAGCTCTCCCCACTCAGACCCAGGAGTACAGACCCCCAGCCCTCCTCCCTGAGACCAGGAGTCCAGGACCCCAGCCCCCTATTCTCTCAGATTCAGGAGCCCAGGCCCCCAGCCCCTCCTCCTTCAGACCTAGGAGTCCAGGCCCCCAGCCTCCTCCCTCAGACCCAGGAGTCCTGAACCCCAGCGCGCCTCCTCCCTCAGACCAAGGAGTCAGGGCCCGCAGTCCCTCCTCCCTCAGACCTAGCAATTCAGGCTCCCAGCCAGGCCTGCTCCGGACCAAAAATCCAGGTGCCCTGCCCCCTGTTCTGCCACCATGGAGATGGGACCCTCGGCTCAGGCGCTTGCCCCTTAAGGAAATGAAAGTCCCCTCAGGCTCCAGCCGGGTCAGGACCCCGCCCCCAGGCCCTCCTCCCGGGGCAGCTTCCCTCCTCCCCGCCCGCGTCCCCTTAAAATACCCGGGGTTCCTATGGCAACAGGCGCTGGGCGACAGGTGCGGGTGTTATTTACGGGTCAAGCCTGAAATAGCCCGAAAGGGCGCGGGGGTAGGCGGGTGGGGCAAGGCCGGAGTGAGCCGAGCGGCGCGTCCGGGCGGAGCGGGCGGCGGCGTGCAGGACCCGACGGCTCGGAGGCGTCGCGGAGCTGGGGCCGGCGCGGCGCGGAGGCAGGAGAGCGAGAGGGGGCCCTGCCCGGGAGACCAGGGTGGGAGGCCTGCGGGAGGCAGCTGGCCTGGAGCTGAGCCTGGAGCGGTCCCGGCCCGGCAGGCCCTGGGAGCCCGGGGGAGGAGGAGCCAAGTGATCCCAAAGGGACGCAGAGTCCCTCCCGGGTCCCAGTTGTCCTTTGAATCCTGGGGGATTTCGTCCCTGTTTCCTGAGCCTCAGTGGGGACCACAGACCCTCCCTCTGACCTCGATAGGGACCCCAGGTCCCCCTCCTGAGCCTGGGGGCGTCCTCTAGCCCCCTTCTCTGGACCCCACTGTGTCTCTGAGCCACTAGTCCCCTCTCTCAGACCCAGGGAGACTTTCTCTGATCTCTCTTCTCTGAATGGCCTGGGAGACACCCACCCCCTTTTCCTGAAGCCAAGCCAGGACTCCACTGTCCCCTGTGTGAATGTTGGGGGTCCTACAGCCTTTCTGAGACGCAGGAGTTCTGATCTCTTCTGAACCCCGGAGGGGACCCAACCTCTCCCTCCCCAGATTCTGAGCCCAAAAGGAACCAGGAGGCATCTCCTCTGACACTCAGAGGACCTCAGCAACCCTCCCTGGGTACCCCAAGCTCTGAGCCTTAGTGGGGTGCTCAGATCCCCTCCCCCCAGGACACCCAGTTTCCCTCTGGTGATTCACCCCAGTGGGGACCCAGAGCAGCCCCTCAGAGCCTCAGCCAGTGTTCAGTTCTCCTTCCTCTAGAGCCGTGAGGTCCCCCTCCTAGAGACCCAGCTTCTAGCTCTGGGCCTTGGGGGTCCCTTGCTTTTCTTCTGGGTCCCACCTTCCTTGCAGAGTTTTTGCGGCCTCCCCAGGCCCTCCTCGGAATTTAGAGGGTTTCCGGGGTAGGAGGCTCTATTTTTTTCTCTTCTAAGCTCCAGAGGTGACCTCGACTCCCCCACTGGAGGTTCCAGGGAAGATTCCCATCTTCCTTTCTCAGAATCCAGTGGAAACTGAGCCCCTCACCTCCTTCAGGACCCCAGGCGCTCCCCTCCCCGCTCCCCAGCTCTGCGTCCTTTGCACCTGTTCTGAGCCCCGTGGGCTGCGGCCTCTAGGATGATGATGTGGTCCAACTTTTTCATGCAAGAGGAGGACCGGCGGCGTCGGGAGGCTGTGGGCCGGCGGCGGGCTCAGGGGCAGCACCAGTTGACGCCGGAGCGGGAGGGGAAGATCAAGCTGGGGCTCCTGCTGAGCGCCGTGGGCTCCACGCTGGCCGTGCTGGCCGTGGGCACCGAGTTCTGGGTAGAGCTCAACACCTACAAGATCAATGGCAGCGCTATCTGCGATGCTGCCCACCTGGGGCTCTGGAAGATGTGCACCAAGCGACTGTGGCAGGCCGACGTGCCCGCGGGCAGAGACACCTGCGGCCCCGCAGAGCTGCCTGGAGGTGAGAGGCCACGCCCCCAGTCCGGGGATTGTACCCCAAGGTAGCGAGAGTAGTCAGGGTCAGCGGAACCCACACCCCAGAGGGAGCCTGAGCCCCAAGAAGGAAACTTGCACCCTCAGAAGCAGCCTATACCCGCACCAACCTGTGCTCCTTGGAATAACCTTTGCCCCAGACATGAACTGGGGGGAGGAGGGAGTAGGGGAGAGGGAGAAGAGAGAAAGTCTGTACTTCAGACTAGCCTGTAACTGACCTTCCTGTACCCACCCCCCCAAGCAGCCTGTCCCACTTAGATCCAGTGCCCCAAACTGCCTGTACCCCCAGACTAGGCTGTACCCTAAAACCAGCTCATACCCTTACCAGCCTACCCCCAACCAGCCTATACCCCAGACCAGCCTGTGCCCCCAGACCAGGCTGTACCCCCAGACCAGCCTGTACCCCCAGACCAGGCTGTAGCCCCAGACCAGGCTGT